TGTACATACAAGGAAAACAGTTAAATGAGGTTCAGTACTATACATTCACTGGGGATCTTGGAACATACACTCTGCAGATAAGGGAGACATATAGTGATGCATTTCTTTTGTCACAAATATATTGTGGTAGTGGTGCTGTGATAGTGTTAACAGCTGTGTGTCCCTGCTGTGTGCCAAGTACTTTAAAGTCTTGTTTATTCTCTCACAACTTTGAGTTTAGATGGGAGTCTATTCATTTTTGGTTTTGTTTTTATTGTGCTGGAGATTGAACCCAGGCCTTGTGCATATGAGGCATGCACTCTACCCACTGAGTTATATCCCCAGCCCCATTTTTCTAATAAAGGAAACCAGGGATAGAGAGTTATTCTCAGCTGTGTACCTAGTGAATTAAAAGTTGGGAATTCAGTTTGGGTCTGTCAACTCCGAAACCCCTTATTTTTCTATGTTCCATCTTGTTAAAGATTATGTTTCTTGATTGGTTTAATAGACTTTGTTATATTCGTCATTGCTTCCCCCGGAGCACTTAATATAGTACTTGACTTAGAATAAACATTTAGCAAATGTTTGATTGAATGGTAGAGACACTGACATCTCATTTTGATGGATCATTTACATCAGCCCACTTTGTCAAAATACTGTGATTGTGAATCCAGTTTATGATGCACCATGTGGGAGAAGCAGCCTTTAATACTTTTCCTCTTTCTTACAGCCACCGTGTCGAACTCCCAACAGGCTTACCAGGAAGCATTTGAAATTAGTAAGAAAGAAATGCAGCCTACACACCCAATTCGACTTGGCCTGGCTCTAAATTTCTCAGTCTTTTACTATGAGATTCTAAACTCTCCTGAAAAGGCCTGCAGCCTGGCAAAAACGGTGAGAAGGATCCTCCAGTTTCTAATCCTAATAGACTTTTGAGCTTCCTAGTAACTTTTATTGTGGGACATCTCATGGTCTTGGACTTTTTAGAAGATTTTTTTTTTTTTTAAGGGTAGGATTACGTCTTTTATGAAAGAAATACAGGCCTATTACTTTGTGATTCCTTCTCAACACTCCTGCTGATTTATTATTATTATTGTTGTTGTTATTATTACTACTACTACTATTTTTGAGGGGTGGTTGCAGAACATTCCAGGTAAAGGTGGTTTATTGTTTTTCATCAAGCTTTGGGCCTTGGTTTTACATCATCATCCTCCTTCCAATATAGTAGGTTATGGCTGTGTAAATGAAAGAAATCAGACCACATTCCCTCTCTTCTTCCCTTCCTTTCCTTCCTTCCTGTACTGGGAATGGAACCTTCAGTCCTTGTGTATATTAGGCAAGTGCTCTACCACTGAGCTACATCCGCAATACCCACCCTGTTTTAATTTTATTTTTGAGACACAATCTCACCAAGTTGCCCAGGTTGTCCTCAAACTTGTGATCCTCTGCTTCAGCCTTCTGAGTAGCTGGGATTACAGGTGTGCACCCCCCACTCCCAGCTGGACCACATTTTCTTTGTGTGCTATATTTCCTCCTGTCTTTTTTTGGCCTTTTCTTTATATGTATTTGTAAACATGCGCACAGTTTTTTGTTGTTGTTTGTTTCTTTTCTTTCTTCTTTTTTTTTTTTTTTTTAAGTTTGGAAAAGGTCCTGAAATGAACCCCTTAAATTGCTGCTCTTAACCTATTGAGTCTCATTGTCCCAGATGTGGGACGTCTATAAAAACTTAAATGGAGAAACAGTTATACCGCTCATGATAACTGGAAACAAATATTGTGTTTTTAAAGTTCTGTTCTTTGAGAAAATAACTGAATGATTACAGCATTTAGCAAATGTTTGATTGAATGGTAGACACTGATATATGTATTTTCATAAAGATATATAAGTGCTAGGTTATCATTTCCAGCCTATTTTAATATACCTGTGTCAATTTTGTTGAACTATTTGCAGAATTGAAAATTTGGGACTTAGCGGGTTAATTAAATCAGGTTTAGTGAAGTGAGTTTCACTCTTGTATTTTTTTTGTATCTAAGTTTAAAAAAAAAATTAAGAGGTTTTCTAGAAGAGTTTTTTGGTAAATTTGTGTGAATTTACCTAGAACAGATGTGCTAGGCTTAACAATAATACTAGTTACTTATTAGATAAAGCTAAGTTTATTAGAAAATCATAATTTATATTGTCTAGGAAATTTTATCATTGCTGATTGGTGCTTTATAATCACATTATGAAGGCTCCAAAGTACTGTAGAAGAAGAAAAATTATAGTCACTTATTAAAAGGGAAAAAAAACTCAACTAACAATTCTAAGAACTGTAGATTCTTTGCTGAAGGCTCTGTGTTTTAGGCATTTGATGAAGCGATTGCTGAGTTGGATACACTGAATGAAGAGTCTTACAAAGACAGCACTCTGATCATGCAGTTACTTAGGGACAATCTCACTGTAAGTACTACTTTTGGATGGTTTATGGCCTTTCCTATTCACCTGCTAAATAATTCACTATTATCCAAGATTCAAGAGAGGATTTATACTCCATTAAATATAATTCAGTTAGTTATAGATGACTGCTACAATTGTGATGTGTATAGTCATCAGTGTCTGCAATAATACAGAAGGAATTTTAAACAGTTGATTGAAATAAGATATAAATTGAACCACTCCCACATAAATTTGAGTAGCCCTACTTTGATAATACCTTTTTTTTTTTTTTCTCTTGCAGCTGTGGACATCCGAAAACCAGGGAGATGAAGGAGATGCTGGGGAGGGAGAGAACTAATGTCTATCATGCTTTGTGATCTGTTCAGTGTCACTCTGTACCCTCCACATTTATCCCTTTGTGCGATAAAACAAACAAACAAACAAAAATTTGTACGTTGACTTCGATTTTTCACAGCCTCAGCCTAGCAAAAATGGTCCATGGTATAAACAGCTGGTATTTGTATCTAAAACTCAGATTGGTCACATAAATGCCACGGCATTCTGAAGTTTTGATTTCATTAATATTGACAGAATTACTGTGTGCTTAATTTTTTTAAACTGAACACTGTGATTATGGGGTTTTGTAACTTAGCAGAACTCTTACTGGTAGAAAAAATAGACCTGAATTATGTGTAACTTTTTGGAAAGTTTAATCTGATATCAAAATAGTCACTGAAAAACAATTCTGTTGTAAAGTTGTACAGAAAGTTATAGAGACTATATTGTGGTGCTGGGACTGGAGTGAGACACATCATTTGGCATCCAAGTTTAATGGTAATTCACAGTAATTCTGCCTGTGGTTCAGGGCTTGTAGACACTTGACCAGTTTGGGCTGTTGCCACACAAAAGTTCATGACCACAGAAGTCTACAGTGTCTTCCTCTGAGGAAACTCAGATCCTGAAATTGAGATTCTTTGTGGCAGATAGCTGGGTTATGACACTGCAAAAAGGTTCAGTGCTCATTATAACAAGAGTGACTAAGCCCCCTTTCCTACAGCAATATGTTACTGATTTGCAACTTTTCAAAACAACCGGATCTGTTTTCCTTGTTACTACTTAGCTAAAGAAAAACAAGCTATATATCTTATGAACCACCTTATCTGTTTCCTGGGTAAGTCATTTAAGAACAATGTTCTGTAGAGATTGTCTCTCACTGGAGGAGTACTCAAGATATTCCTAACTTGGGGCATTAAATTTTAAAATCTAAACATTCCTTCCCCCATGTTCTTTTTAACTATTGACTTTGTTTTTCTCTTCCCTCTTAAAAATATATGTCCTTCTGCTTCCTTACATTTTCTTCCTTTGGAAATCTGTATCTTTTGTTTACTTTTTATGTCGTGTGGGCAGAGGGTGCAAGACAGTGGTGAGCATTTTGGTGAGTAAGGCTTGCTTCAGAGTTGAGAAGAGCTTCTCACACCACATCCCAGTCTTCCTCCAGTTCTCAGCACAATTGTTGCTCTTCAGTCATACCACAATCTGAATCAAAAAGTATTTTTAAATCTCCATGAGTTCTCCCTTTATTGCAACCAACCCTGATAATGCTTGTTAGTGCCTATCACCAGATCTCCAAAGTGTACTCATCCAGCTCAGTTCTCAGACATGTCTACACAAGACCCTATAATGCAGGGAAGTTGCATGGGCACTGCAAAGGAGAGAATAGCCAGGCCTGTCAGTCTCACAGTATCACCCCTTACCCTAACATTCCATAAAGCTATAGAGTTCATTTGTTTGTCCATCTGCTGAAATGAGAAAAGAAAAATTCATGCACTGATTTAAAACAAACCAAAAAAAAAAAAAAACTAAAAAAAAATCCTTTTCTTTCTAGCTGAACAAAAATGTGCAGTTAATACTTGGCGCTTGAAAATGCAGTAGTGAATGTGGAACCAAGCTGTCTGTATATCTGGTAGCTCTCTGCTTTGTTTTCCTTACCAGTATTCTGCCTAATGTTTGCTTCTGTGATGGTTATATTGCCTAGCAAGCACACCTGTGGTTGTGAAAATAGTGTAGCAAAAAAGAAAAATCCCCGGTTATTGATGTACTAGATTTGTGTATGTCTTTTAAACAGTTCTAGTTTCACCTTACACGGAATAATCAGGAAAAAGTGTAAAAACTCAAAAGTGAAATAAAAAATTTTATCAGTTAGTTGCTTGTGAATTGATGTGCCACCACTATCTCTATTGATACAGAACTAGCTAGGTACTCAGATCACCTATTTTTACTTCTGTTTTCTTGAAAAATGGATAAAACACGTGGGTGATGGGTACACTCCTGTAATCCCAGCTACTTGGGGGGCTGTTGCAGGACAATCACAAGTTCAAGGCCAAATGGGCAACCTAGCCCTACCTGTTTCTTTTTCTTTTTTTTTTTTTTTAAGAGAGAGTGAGAGAGGAGAGAGAGAGAGAATTGAATTTTTTAATATTTATTTTTTAGTTCTCGGCGGACACAACATCTTTGTTGGTATGTGGTGCTGAGGATCGAACCCGGGCCGCACGCATGCTAGGCGAGCGTGCTACTGCTTGAGCCACATCCCCAGCCCTAGCCCTGTTTCAAAAAATAAAGTTGAGGATGTTGCTTAGTGGTACAGCACTTGCCTAGTATGTGCAAGGCTCGGGTTTATTCCCCAGTACCATAACAAAAGAAAAATAGGAAAATAGCTTTATTTCATCCTTCAGAACCGAAATCAAAGGTGTGATAAAAAAATTACCATTAATTAAACACTCTCTACTTGAGACCTCTCCAACATCTACAGTAAACCAGATGTTGAAGTCCTTTTTGTGGCTTGTAAGATTTGGTATGCACAATTATTTTGCAGCACTTCCCAAACCCTAACTTTTTTTTAAAGCTTAACATACAACCTAGTCAATGAGATGAAACCAACTTTAGAGTTGCTTGAGTCTTGGTACTGCTGTTCATGATAACTGGCAGCACTTTCTTCATAGGGTTTACGCCCCTTCTAAAAACATCCACACTCCTGTAGGAGAGAAGTCTCCACAGAGGGGTATTTTTTAAGATTAGAACTGGTACCTGTAGTGAGGCTAGACAGGCAGACCAGCTCCGGCCCCTGTTCAGGAACTGTCACACCTGTGGAAGCCATGCGCAATCCAAGGTCAGGAGAAGCTGAGGCCCTGGAAGAACCACTGTAAAGTATCGGTCTACAATGGACAGGAATTTAAACAAAATGGTCCTACATCACATAGATTGGGGCTGCAAACAGCCTTATTGCTTATTGTAGGGCCACTTCCTTGGCCCTTTTCTGCTCTTGGGTCCCTATTGTTCCCATGCAAGTAAACCCCTGATGAGATGCAGGTGGAAGACCCCCTCCACAGGTGGCAGGTGATGTCTCACCAAGAGGTCTCGGCGGTGGAACAGCCAGTTGCAAGGGAGGCCTGAAGGACAGGGATCCCCAGTTCTAAAGCAGCCTTTAGCCCCCAGTCACTGAGGTTTACCATTACGGCCCATTAGGGTGGGACTGGGTGGAGCTGGTTCAGAAAAACATTTCCTTAGGCAGGATAAAAATCTGAACCCAAGTTGGAACAGCGTGCCTGGCTCAGAATTTTCCCCTCTGCAAGTGCAAAGCGCAAAAAGCAGTTTCTAATCCTTGACAAGAGGGAGACCCCGTTCATTTTACAGAGAAGGAAAATGGGTCCAGAAAGGCGCAGCGTGACTGGATTAGAACTCCGTCCGTAGCCCGCCCTTCCTAAGCTGCCCACCGGAGCCCGCAGCACCCTAGGCCACCCGAGGCCCTCCTCCGCGGCGGGGTCTGAGATGTCTCGCACCTGCGACTTGAGATGGCTGAGGGCCCCCAGGTGGGGTGGGCCTGGGCCCCGGCGATTGGCTCGCTGGCCCGGGGGTGGGGGCGGTAAAGGGAAGGGGCGGCCGAGCGCGCAGGAGGGATAGTCCTGGGCCGCCGCAGGCTAGGTCCCTGCCTGCGCAGCGCGGGCCTCGCGGTGACCCGCTTCTCGTCTCCCCCGCACCCGGCTCGGTCCACCATGAACGCCGGCGGTCAGGGCTACCCGCTGGCCTCGCTCTACGTGGGCGACCTGCACCCAGACGTGAACGAGGCCATGCTCTATGAGACGTTCTCGCCCGCCGGCCCCATCCTGTCCATCCGCGTGTGCCGCGACGTGGCCACCAGGCGCTCGCTGGGCTACGCCTACATCAACTTCCAGCAGCCGGCCGATGGTGAGCCCCCGGGAGGGCGGACGAGAGGGGACGAGCCCCAGTGTAGAGAGACCGCCCCCAGGACTGGCCGCTCGCTTAAGTGTTCCATTTTGCAGCCAGGGAAACTGAGGCGCAGAGATGCAGGGTCTTGGAAGGGGCTCGGTAGCTGAGGCGAGAATTGCAGTGACTGCATTGCTCCGTTTGTAGAGAAGAGAGATTAAGACCACGTGAAAACAGCTAAAGCCTTTGGGGTAGGGCAGACCTGACCCCCAAATAGACAGTTGTGGTTACTCAACCTTTCTGAGCCCAGTTGCTTCTCCGCAAAATGGAATGGTTGTGAGGATGAGATTGGAAGCACCTGGGAAGGGAGGCGCCCAAGAAAGCACTGCTCGAGAGTGTAGAAACCTGGGCGCCAGCCTCCCAGGGAGCCTGACATAAGGTCTACGCTGTGGCCTCCACTTTCCCCGAAAAGCCCTCTCTTCCAGCCGGTGTCCCAAGGCTGATAGGATTGATTAGACTTCGTTAGATGAGTAGGTCTGCACCTCTTTTGAAAATCGAGGACAAAAGAATAGGAGCTCTGCCACTGTGAGGTGAGCTGGGTCAAACGACCCCAGTATCCACGGGGCTAAGGCTTACTCCCCAAGAGAGGAAGAATGGAGAACTGTATAATCCCAAGGAGTCCAACTTGGAAGCCTGAGCAAGAAGGATCCCAAGGTGGAGGTCAGCCTGGGCACGCTGGAGACTCTTTAAAAAAAAAAAAAAGGAAGTGGTTTGTGTGGGCCTGGGGATGTGACTCAAGGGTAGATCTTGCCTAGCATGGGGGAGGCCCTGAATTCCATCCCCAGAACACCCCCCACACACACCCACACAGAGAAAGGAGATCTGGATTGAAAAATAGTGAATAATGGCTGTAATGCTGTGGTGTAACCCTCCAGAAACATGACTGACAAAAGCCTGCCCCAGCCTCAGTCCAAAAGAAGGTGGCTTACTGCAGGGCTCCTGAGCTGGGGTTCGTGTGGCTGAACTGAATGCTTCCCCTTCCTCTGTCCTGCCCCACCTGCTATATGGTGTTCCTGGCTTCCTAGCCCCTCTGCAAGCATGGCCAGTGTCCAGGGACCTGACCTTTTGGTCCCAGCTCATAAACGGGGGCACTGAGCTGCAGGGAGCAGGAGTCTTGCCCCTGGCTGCCGATGCTGGAACTGGATGAGGGACTCCTTGAGGCTTGCTCCTCTGCTTCCCAGCTCCCTCCATGTCTCTGAAACTAGCAGAACCCCAAAGCAAAGGCAATGTATTTATTATCTTGGAGGGACAGGCAGTGGCAGTGGCAGTGGCAGGAGGGTGAATAGGAGTGGCTGTTTTCAGACACACTGCCATCTACCAGACTTCTATTGCACATCCAGTGCAAAGTGCAAACGTGTCACATTGTATTCCTGACTTTTCAGACTGTCCAACAGGTTGGGGGTAGGTGACATTACTTCTTTTCTAGGTGTGCAAAGGAGGTATTGTCATTGTCCTTACTTTACAGGTGAGGAAACGGGCTCAGACACGTGGCATTCACTTTCCTCAAAGCTGGACTGCCTGGGTGGCACTGACTCTCAGTTCTGCTGTTCATCACCTTTGAGCTTTAATTTCCTTAAACTGCTGCCACCCCTTGTCATTTGGACCCCTCTGTTACATTCTCATTTACTCAGTGTGCTTAAGAGGACAAAATAGACCTGGCTCTGCCACTGACATTTCACCCTTCTAAGCCTCAGTTTTCCCTTCTGTAAAATGGAGATGGGAATCCTTGCTCACCTGGGTTTGGGGAGGTGGGAGTAGCACTGTGCACATTAATTTCTCAGCCCATTTCTCCTGAGCTTTTAGGCTCCTGTCTCGGGTGAGAACCACACAATGGCTGTTTTCCATCTCTAATTAAGTGTCATAGATGGTCAAGGTCAGGAAATTCCCTTAATCTGCTTCTTTCTTTCCTCCTGTCCAGCCGAGCGGGCACTGGACACAATGAACTTTGAGTTGATCAAAGGCCAACCCATCCGCATCATGTGGTCACAGAGAGACCCAGGACTTCGCAGATCAGGTGTGGGCAACATCTTCATCAAGAACCTGGAGGACTCCATCGACAATAAGGCTTTATATGATACCTTCTCCACCTTTGGGAACATCCTCTCTTGCAAGGTGGGTGTGCCAAATACCTGTGTGATGCAGAGCTGCCAACCAGCACTTCCCTTTACAGTTTAGAAGGTCCTTTCAGCACAGCCCCAGGTATAGCAAGCCCTTGAACTACAGCTGTTCTTCTCAGTTTGTCTCAACAAAACTAACAGAATCTACCTGTCAGCTCTCTGTGTGACCAGCCCCAAGTGGTGGCCATCAGCGACCACTGTCTGTCTAGCTCTGCAGTTGGTGGTTTGTTCTGAACCCAGAGGGGCACTTTGGTTTGACCTTGGCTGCCCTCCCTCCTGTGCTCCTTCTGCCTGATGGGAGGCCTCTGGGGCGGATGAAGCGGGGCTGGGAGCTGGGAGCTCGGCTTCCTCCCTGTGGCCTCCCGCCCTCCAGCGGCCTAGCTTGGGCCCCGTAGACAGAAGGTAGAAACTCACTGGGCCTTCTGAGTCGAACTCAGAACTAGGATACGAATATTTCTGCATGCTGTTGGCCAAGACAAGACTCAAGACCAGCCCACAGGCAGGGTGAAGAGTGAGGGGGCTAGAGATTACAGGACAAAGGCTGCAGGAAAGCCATGAATGGGGCTATCATGGCCATCAGTGTCCGAATCTTGTTTTTGTTGTGCCTGCTGAATACAAATGGAACCACTGAGCTGCACCCCCAGACCCTGCCACATCTTGTTAAGGTTTCTTTGGGGGCTAGAAATGGAGCTCAGGGGTAAAGCACTTGCCTAGCATACATGAGGCCCTAGGTTTGATCCCCAGCACCAAAACAAAACAAAAGGATTTTTCTCCCATTGGCATGCAGGTTCACTCAAGAGTAGTGATCCTGTACTTAGTCACTGTTGCATCCCAGTATCTCAACTAGCCATGAGCGCGTAATAGGTGCTCAGTAAATATTTGCTGAGTGGTGGGATGAATTATCATTTGAGAAGGTCTCTGATTGTTCTCACTTGGTCTATAAAGATGTTGAGCAGCAGAGGCCAGACAGCAGGTTGCTGTGTGCTGGCCAGAGGGCTTAAGCCTGGGTGTTCTGCCCCTGCATTGTATGGGGATGGCTAGCGAGTTACCCTGAAGCCTCTGGGGCAACCACCTTCCTGGGGGCTTATGGCCATCTCTGTCTTGGAACTTTTCTGAGTGCTACTTTGTGTCAGGCACAATCCCTAAGTTCTAAGGCCTCATGCCTTCTCTCTGGATGAGGGACTCTCCCTGTGATTCAGAGGAGCAGACTGAGACTTGAGGTATAGTAATATGCTAAAGTTCCCTGTGACAGAGAGACAGGGCTGCTCCCCATCTTTGAGAATCGGTGGGAGAGAGAGACTCTTCAGTAACAATGGCAGATTTGCTAAGTACCTTCTACGTGCTAGGTTTTCTGCACATATGGTCACATCCAATTTCCCTCCACAGCCCCTTAAATCACTGAGTTGCACTTGAGGACAGAGAAGTTTAGAGAGTTGGAGTCACTTGTCCACAGTTACGTTGCACTGGGGGTTGATTTTTAGTGGCAGAATCAGAATTTGAATTAGTGGATTTGCCACTGAAGAAAATTGAACAGGGATCAGTGTGTCTTTGCCGGCTACAGGCCTTGAGGTCCTCTGGGACTCTGAGGAGTAGACAGAAAGCTCCATGTGATGCAGGCAGGTCTTTGCAGACTTAATGAGGCTCTGTTGTGGGCCCGTTTAGAAACGAGGCTTACTGTGGGTCCCTAACCTTGGGAGCTCTTGGGCCAGCTGGAGATGGAATAGCTGGAAATCAGCTCTGAGGGAGAAGCATGGTGATCCTGATGGTGATAAGGAAGGAGAGAGCCATTTAGCTGTCAGAGAGGTTTCTGTGTCACTGTGGGAAGAGCACATGACCTGAATCAGGTCACCCAAGTGCCAAGCCCAGTTGCTTAGTTGGGAGCAACATAAGGTCAGACCATGGTCTGGGGCCAAATGTCCTGTGTTTAAACCCTGCTTCTTCCACTTCCTGGTTCCATGACCTTAGGCCTAAAAAGGTGACTTTGGAAGGAGGAACCTACCTCATAGGTTGTCATGAGGATAAACTGAGTTATGTGGAGCCAATGGAAGGACAGTTGAAGTACTGTCAGCAACACATGGCAAGTAAAATAACTAAGAGGTTATTTCTGCTGGCTGACCTTGGACAAGTCATTTATTTCCATTTTCCCTCTCCAACTCAGGTTGAGAATTGTCTGGGAGGTTTCTCCTAGCAAACATATTAAGAAAAGTATAGGATGCTCTTGCAGGTGTGCAACCCACAGTGGGGTCCCAGTCAACATTACTGAGTGTGGGTGGAAGAGCCCTGTCTGGGGCTGGGAGGTGGAGGGAGTGTGCTGGGCATGAGTTTGGATGCAGGATCAGTTGTGCGGATCTATTGGAAAGCCTCAGACGCTGAGAATTTTGTGTGTAGGAGCCACTGGAGCTCAAACAGACAGGTCAGAATCACATTTTAGAAAGAGCATCCCAAGCTGGGCACAGTGGTGCACACCTGTAATCCCAGCTACCTGGGAGGCTGAGGCAGGAGGATGGCAAGTTTGAGACCAGGCTTAGCAATTTAGTGAGACCCTGTCTCAAAATAAAAAATAAATAAAAGGACTGGGGATGCAGCTTAGTGGTAGAGTGCCCCTGGGCTGAATCCCCAGTGCTATTGAAAAAGAAAACACAATGGGGGTTTGAGGACCTGCTGGCGTAGGAAGGCAGAGCTGGTCTGTGGTGTACGCACAGTGTGCTCATTCTGAGTACTTGATTATCTTACGCAAATGGATTGGTCTCTTTGAACTTCAGTTTCCCGTCTCTACAATGGTGCTGTTATGTGACACAGGATTATTTTCTATTTTTGGTGCAAGGGATGGAACCCAGGGCCTGTGCCTGCTAGGCAAGCACTGTCCCACTGAGCTACCCCGGTCCTCATGGGACCGTCTTTGACACGCGCAGAGCGAGCACCCGGGACTGGGCACTCATGATCATCTTTGTCATCCTTTTCTCTGGAACTCCGATTGGGGGTTGGATGTTCTGTCTGTCCTTCCTCCCTGTGGTCCAGGTGGTATGTGATGAGCACGGCTCTCGGGGCTTCGGCTTTGTGCATTTTGAGACCCATGAGGCTGCGCAGCAGGCCATCAGCACCATGAACGGGATGCTGCTGAATGACCGCAAAGTGTGAGTGGCTGTGCCCGGGGGAGGGACAGAGGCTGGAGGGACAGGACCGTGGTTCCACCAACTAGGAAAGGTGGGTGCCAGATGCTGGGCGGCAGTCTTCCAGAAGCATGACCTCAGGCAAGTTGCTTGACCTCTCAGGGCCTCTCTCCTAATGTCAAACTGGAGCTGATGTGGGGTGTTAAAGGGTTGTCCCGAGTCAGAAATGCAGTGACCATCTCGAAATTTGAGAGGGGATTTCAGCTGAAGGCCACGTCGTCCATGGACTCAGTGGTTTCATCTGTTTTCCAGTCTCTCGGTCTGGCTGTGCATTTTCTTTCTTTCTTTTTTTTTTTTAAAGAGAGTGAGAGAGAGGAGAGAGAGAGAGAATTTTAATATTTTATTTTTTAGTTTTTCGGCAGACACAACATCTTTGTTTGTATGTGGTGCTGAGGATCGAACCCGGGCTGCGCGCATGCTAGACGGGTGCGCTACCGCTTGAGCCACATCCCCAGCCCTGTGCATTTTCTTTAAACCTTGTTTGTTTCATGGGATTTGGGGACAGAAGGAAAAGCAGCACATGCTTAGCCTGCCCAAGGCCGGTGTCAACCCTACTTTACAGATAGGGAGATACAGATGCTGGAGGGGACCTGCTTCTGGCTGCGCCCCTCCCCACTGTGGATTCTGCCCATCTGGTGGCCCAGCCCTCAGTGCTGGGGAGTGAAGGCGGCTTTGAGCTGGGAGAGTACCTGGGGGCATTTTGCCAGGGTCTCTGGTGGCGGGGGTCCTATTGACAGGTCACACTGACCTAGGTGGGCTTTTACCAATTCTCAAAAAGGTGTCATCTTGCCTGGAGTGGAGGCGCATGCCTGTAACCCCAGCGTCTCGGGAGGCTGAGGCAGGAGGATCATGAGTTTAAAGCCAGCCTCAGCAATGGCAAGGTGCTAAGCAATTCAGTGAGACCCTGTCTCTAAAGAAAATACAAAGTGGGTCTGGGGATGTGGCTCGGTGGTCAAGTGTCCCTGAGTTCAATCCCTGGTATACCCCCCCCCAAAAAAGTATCATCTTTGTTAGCAAGTATTAACTCAAATTTCCCTCTGCCGTTTGGTTTTCATCAGCACCAGCATTCCGTGTGCTTGGCTGTCTTCTTAGAGTGCCCCTAGATTCACATCTACCATAGAGCTATGCTTTTATGTTTTGAGACGGCGTCTATCTAAATTGATAAGGCTGTCCTCCAACTTGCAGTCCTCCTGCCTCACCCTCCCAAGTCCCTGAGATTACAGGCTTGGTGACAGCACATAGCTATGCTTTTTTTTCCCCTTAAGGAGACATGCCAGCTCGGCATAATGGCGCTGTCTGGTGGCCCAGCTACTTGGGAGGTTAAGGCAGACAGACTGTGTGAGTCTAGGCGTTGAGACCAGCCTGAGCAACAGTGAGACTCTGTCTCTTTTTAAAAATAGAAATAAAATGGAAAAGGGAAAAAGGTACTCTCCGAGGTGTGTTTATGTGAACTTGGAAATTACTTAAAATTAATGTTGTATTTAAGGGATTTCAGCCCATCCCCCAGAGTGACATTGGCATTGACCTTGTCTGATTGACTCAGTCCTGCTTTTCTAGTGCACTCAGTATGTATTAAATGAATAAGCAAAGCCTCGTGATGTGATTTGGATCCCAGTTTCACAGGAATGAGCACTGAGGCTCCGAGAGCTGAAGTAACTTGCCCAGGGTTACACAGTGAGGCAGATGTAGACTGAGGATTCAAGTTCTTGTCTAAATCCCAAATTCATGCTCTTGCCTCCTGTGCTCTTAGCTGCCTAGTATATGGTATGTGTTTGTCACAAAATAAAGTCTTCTGAGTCTTATGCTAGGGACAAGCTCTGAAACATAGCCCCTTGGCTGTTGGAGAGACTAGACAGGTTCACCTACATGGAACGGCCCTGTGCAGTTGCCCAGTGAGGGAGGTGGAGGCTGGGAAAGACAGTGACTGGCACAAGTGGCCCAGTGATGCTGGGTAGCTTGGGGGTGCGGTGAGGGGTGCTGAGATCTGGCTGCTGCCTGCCCTGGTGGTGTGTCCACAGCTTTGTTGGCCACTTCAAGTCTCGAAGAGAGCGGGAGGCCGAGCTGGGCGCCCGGGCCCTGGAGTTCACCAACATCTATGTGAAGAACCTGCACGTGGACACAGACGAGCAGGCCCTGCAGGACCTCTTCTCCCAGTTTGGTGTGTGGGTTCCCTGAGGGAGGAGGGGTCCCTACTGCTCCTCTTCACACCCAGGTTTGCCATGAGGAGGGCCCTCCTGGGGCTTCCCGAGGTCAGGGAGGGAGATCCTGGGGCTCCCCACCTCCCCTTTGAGCCAGGTTGATCCTTCCCAGGAAAGATGCTGAGTGTGAAGGTGATGAGGGACAACAGCGGCCACTCCCGGGGCTTCGGCTTTGTCAACTTTGAAAAGCATGAGGAAGCCCAAAAGGTAGGAGCCGCCCAGTGGCTCTGTTTCAGGGAGGAGGGCCAGAGCCAGGACTAGGAGGAAGGGAGATCTGGTATATGGGCCTCCAGCCGCTGTGGAGGGGAAGAAGTTCCCCTCTATTTGGGCCAAGAGGGTGGGAGAGTCTGGCCCTTCTAGGCTGGGGGGCAAAGGCAAAGGCTCCATCCCCAAGGTCACTTCTAAGCCTTGCAGTTCAAAGAATTGAATACTGAGGCAGGGAAGTCAAAGTCCTCATCAGACACAAATCTTTACTAATGAACCAGCCACTTAAGACAGTTCCCTTCAACATTTCTCCTAACACAGTGTAAAAAATAAAAAACCCATGAAAAATCCTAGCCACTGAGTCAAGAAATGCTTGGGATTGACTTCTGATTCTTGTGGTTGAGCTAATGAAAATGCAGTTCAAAGTCCATAGATAACAGAGATAAGTTGCACAGAGGATGCGGAATTTTATGCAGTTAACTGGCCCTGCTAAATCCTTAGTTTAAGATATAAACATTTTCTTTTCTTTTTCTTTATTCTTGGGGTTGAACCCAGGGGCACCTCACTGCTGAGCCACACCCCCAGCCCATTTTATTTTTTATTTTTTAAATTTTTTTAGAGAATTATATATATATATATATATATATATATATATATATAATGTATATATAATGTATATATAATATGTATGTGTATATATATTATATATATAATGTTTTAGTTTTCAGTGGACACAACATCTTTATTTTTATGTGGTTCTGAGGATCGAACCCAGCGCCCCATGCATGCCAGGCGAGCGTGCTACCACTTGGGCCACATCCCCAGCCCCAACCCATTTTATTTATTTATTTTGAGACAGGGTTTCACTGTGTTGCTTAGGACCTTGCTAAAGTTGCTGAGGCTGATCTTGAATTTGTGATTCTCCTGCCTCAGCCTCCCAAGTTCCTGGGATTACAGGCGTGTGCTGCAATGCCCAGCCAAGACACAAATGTTTATTCAAAACAATACAAAACAAAACAAAAAACTTACAGGGCTGGGTTTGTGGCTCAGTGGTAGAGTGCTTGCCTAGCAAGGGCAGGGCCCGGGTTCAATCCTCAGCACCGCATAAAAAAAATAAAGATTGTGTTATGTACATCTACACCTAAAAAATGAAAAAAAAAAAAAAACAGTCCTCAGCAAAAAGGATTCTTTCATACTGTGAAATACCGATATGAAGTGATGATTATAATTGTCCTTGTGTGTGTGTGTGTTACTGAAGATTGATCCAGGAATGCTCTACCTCTGAGCTACATCCCTGGACCTTTTTTATTTGAGACAGGGTCTTGCCAAGTTGCACAGACTGGCCTCAAACTTTCGATCCTCCTGCTTCAGCCTCCCAGGTAGCAGCTGGGATTACATGACATGATTACAGCTGTGCCTTCATGCCCAGCAGTAATCGTGTCATTTGCTTGCTGCTCTGTTCAAATTGACCACATGTAGTTGCAGTAAGAACTTGAATTTCAGATATTTTCTAGCAGACTTTACTTTTTAGAGCAGTTTTAGTTCACAGCAAAATTGAGTGAAAGGCACAGGTAGAGGTATACTCCCTTTACCCCTATACTATACCTGGCCTCCCTTATTGTCAGTGTCCCCCAACAGAGTGACATACTCATTATAGCTGATGAACCTGCACTGGCGCATGGTTATCACAGGACATATGCTCATTGTCTCACTACCAGTGTTTCACTGCCCTAAGAAACTGTTCTTTCACCTTCCCTACCCACCAGCCTCTGGCCAACACTGATCGTTTGTACTGACCTCACAGTTCTGCCTTTTCCAGAATTCATATAGTGGAAATCATATAGCATGTAGCTTTTATAGGTTGGCTTCTTTCACTGAGTAATATGTGTTTAAAATATGGGAATACTTGAATATATTTAAAATAATTAAGTTTTAAATATGGCTCAGTGGTAAAGCACTCACCTAGCATGTGTGAGTATTGTGTCCAACTACAACTAATTTATATATATATATAAATTTTTAATTTAAATAAGGGAAACTTTGCAGACTTCAATTTTTTTTAAATAGAGCCCTACTCAAATTTTAAAGATCTATAATTCACTTTGCAAAACTTTTCAAATGACCTTTATCCGGTACTAATGATCCTGAGCAAGGAAGGCCAGAGTGGTTTGCAGGGAGTTCCCTCTAGGCCCAAAGGCAGGGCTGGAGACCAAGAAGATGGCCAGGTCTGGGTGGTTACCAGGTGTTTGCTCCCCTCCCCAGGCTGTGGACCAAATGAATGGGAAGGAGGTGAGCGGGCTGCTGCTGTATGTGGGCCGAGCCCAGAAGCGGGCAGAGCGGCAAAATGAGCTGAAGCGCAGGTTCGAACAAATGAAGCAGGACAGGCAGACCCGCTACCAGGTGAGCCCAGGCCTTCGTGTGGACAAAGGGCTCTACATATTCCAAATTCCCTAGAGGAAATCCTACTCCAGGCTACAAATAATTAGGCCAAATGTGTCCCATTCAAAGGTGGAATGTGGTGCAGTCATTAAAATTATATTAAGTAAGGGGCTCGAGCTGTGGCTCAGAGGTAGTGTGCTTGCCTGGCATGTGGGAGGAACTGGGTTCAATTCTCAGCACCACGTATAAACAAATAAAAAATAAAGGTCTGTCAACATAAAAAAATATTTTAAAAACGTTTTAAGTTAATTCATGTAATTAAAATTGTAGATCAGTACAATTTAAGCCTTCTTTGGGAAATGAATTCCTCAAAAGTTTTTAATAGAAGTTCTAGGTCCTTCATGGAGAAGGGTGTGTGTACTCCATATATACCTACACCCACGCGCGCAGTCCACCCTCAGCAGCGCACAGTGAGCAGTTTTTCCTCTCTACACTAGGGACGTTTGGCAATGTGTGGTTGTGTTTTGGGAGCAGGGTGCTACTGGGTACAGGCCAAGGACACAATATGGGCAAGCAGGATATACAACTGTACAATGGTGGGGTCTCAATTCTGTTGTGTGTTCACACACTTTTGTGCTTGGGCAGTCTGGAAGGAGGACATTGAGGTCCTGGGGGCAGCTGACATTCAGTGCCAAGGAGCCAGGGGTCTGAGGTTAGACCACCGGGGTCGGCCACTTCCAGGCTGTCTGGTCAGAGGCGATGCACTTGACCTGTTGATGCTTCAGTTTTGATGTGTGTGAAATGAGGATTAAAGTCTCCTTCTCTTAAGGATTAAATGTCAAAATATGTGAAGGACCTAGGGGTGTGCCTGGCACCAGGGGAGGGTCAACCTACTTGGTTCTGAGCCAGCAGGCATGAGTGGCAGCTGGCCCTGCCTGGGAGGAGCTCTGTGTCCCCCATCTATAAAATGCGTAAAGCCCATGGGGAGGTGGGGACCCAGGCAGGTGTATGAGAACTGCCCGGGGCTGCAGCTTCTGGGTAATGGGCATGCTGAGCCATGGGAGCCTGAGAGCAGGAGGCTGGGCTGGCAGGGCTCCCAGTGACTCTTGTGTCCATGGCAGCCCGATGTCGTCCTGAGGCGATCTGGGGCTTGAGGCGGGAGGGCGAATCAAACAGTGCCCTTTCCTATAGGGCGTGAACCTGTATGTGAAGAATCTGGATGACTCCATCGATGATGAGAGACTGAGGAAAGTGTTCTCTCCCTACGGAGTGATTACCAGTGCCAAGGTGAGGGCCGGGACGCGTCCAGGGCACAGCCTCCCCTTCACCCTCCCATCCCCGCACGCCCACCAGCCTCTCACTGGGCATTTGGGGAGTTGGTGCTGGGCTTTTTAGGGCTCTGTCTGACCCTATTGGACCTCGTAATCCATCTGCAGCCTTGTCTAGGTTGGAGGGGAAGAAAGTAGACGTATAGTCTACTACTGGATTTGTTGGAGTGCACTGTAACAACATTTATTGAGCACCTGCTGTATGCCAGATTCTGGAAATTTATGTCTTAAAATTTCTGTGGACCTTTGTTTTCTGGCTTTGGCCAATGACATAACCCCTCTGGGCCTCCGTTTTCCTATCTGAAAAATGAGAGAATTGGGTTGTATTGGTTTTCCACACATTCTCCCCCATTTATTGAGCACCATGTGCCCACCCCTGTGACATCTGAGATGTGAAAATGGTCCTCCTACTCAGTAGCTCCAGGACCCAGACCAGGAGTCTTAACTTCTTAGCCTTATCTCTTTAGAGCCATGGGCTCACTGCATGATGCTCAGCCTTGGCTTCTTGAGGATCGCCTGGAAAGTTCTTCAGTACAGACCTGGATCAGACAAATTGAATGTAGATATCTGGAAGCAGGGCTTGGGCACCTTTTGAAAAGTCCCCAGATGGTTTTAAGATGACCCATGGCTTATTCATCCCACCATGTGGGAAGCATCTAGGAACATACCAGGTGTGTTCTGGAACAGACTGGTTGTTCTGTTAACAGCCTTTAAATACTGTGAACTCATAAGAATGGGGGATGCTGGAGGCAAGGCTAGGTGGGACAGAGGGAGGCTTCCTGGAGTAGCAGTGGCAGCAGCGTTTGACTTGTCAGGCTCTGTGGGTGGGAATTCGGAACAGTGTGGGTGATGGGGCCAGGGACCTGCGCATATGTGATGGTTGGGGTCTTAGAAAGGGATCTAGAATTTCTCTCGATGTTGAATCCAATCTTAAACCCTTCAGGGAGCCTGGTATCTGGGGAAGATTCTCATTTGCGATGGTGGAGAGGTAGAGACCTTTTGAAAAATGAGACAGGAAGCTATGGGATCAGGTCCTGCTTTTAGGAAGTGCAGTACCCTTGGTGCAGTATTGTACTGGAAAGCTGGGCTCTTCGAGTTCCTTAGACCTACATCTAAATCCCAGCCCTACCATTTCCCAGCTGGAGAACCTGGGCATGTGAGTGCCTTTCAGACTCTGTTTACCCACCTGTGAAATGGAAGCAACATCATCCCTAGGGAGGCTCCCGAGTGCTGTGCATGGAGCTGCATACAGAGCACGTGCAGTCCATGTGCAGCAGGCCGGAGTGGCTGTGATCATCGGGCACACATTGTATTTAATTTAAGGAGATTCACTGACATTGAGGAGTCCTTGAACAAAGGACATATATAAATCTGGATCCCTCGGAGTTGAGGGACACCTGGGGTGATCATCTTTTCAGTAGGCCAATCAGGTTATGAGGATTTTATGTAATTTTATATATTTTCCATTTTATATAAAGTAGTGATTATGAGAATTGAGTTGATGTATAAACTAACTACTATAAATACTTAGTCCATAGTCAAGTTCGTAATAAATTCTGCATGTTTACTAATTATCATTACCATTGTTTTTACCTATCTTTTTTTTTTTTTTTTTTTGCTACTGGGGATTGAACACAGGGCATTCTACCAGTGAGCTACATCCCCAGCCCCTTTTATTTTTATTTATATATATATATATATATATATATATATTTACCAGGGATCGAACCCAGGGGTGCTTAATCACTGAGCCACATCCCCAGTCCTTCTTTATATTTTATTTAGAGACAGGGTCTCACTGAGTTGCTCAGGGACTCACTAAGTTGCTGAGGCTGGCTTTGGGATTCTCCTGCCTCTGTCTCCAGGTGTGCCTGGCATCCTACTAACAGTTCTTAACAGTATTTTTGTGTCAACATCTCTGTCTGGTGAGCCTGTGGATCCCTTCTAATAATATACCAGTTTTATTGAAGTATGACATCAAAATACTTAAATGTCAGAAGTAAGTACTACTTGTTTTTTTATTGCAGTGCTTGGAATTAAACCCAGGGTCTTGTGCACACAAGGCAAACACTCTACCAACTGAGCTATATTCCCAGTCTAGTAAGAACTTCTTTATTAACACACCAACCTAAGATCTACCAGGGTAGCAGAGTAAATGACAGTTTGAGATCAGCAACATTATGTCATGATTTCTCTTCACCATAGTCATAGGCCTGGTTAAAATTGCTATGATATTGTTCTTTTGTTGCCCATATTTATAATGGGAGAAAATGCTAGTGTAAAAATAAGGCTGTCACTTTTCCCCATTAAATTCACAGCCCCTCTGAATTCTATAATGACTTCCCTGGGTGGGGGGAATCTATGGGTTCCCAGCTATACTGTGGGGTGGCAGTTTGAAAGTCACCAAGTCAGAGCACGGGCTCTGAAAGGGTAGGTGTTGGAAAGAGCTCTAGCCCTTAGAGTGTGGGAGCCCGGGCAGTGTCTCAACCTCAGGAAAGCTTACCCACAAAACAGGGAGAGATCCTGGAAGAGAAAAAATATTAGTTAAAAAGGTGAAATCCAAATGAAGTGTAGAGTGGGCCGGGAGAGTGTCATGGTTAATCACATTGCATCAGGGTCAGAGTCTGGACAAATGTGCCTTGCTAGCTTAGGGAGGCTACGAGGCACCCAGGGCTCCGTACTGTTCCTGTAACTTTTCTGTAAGTCTGAAGTTACTCCAAAACAATGAGGCCATTTTATAAGGCTGAGAATATCTTCCCCAAACTCCTAAAGAACTTGGCCCAGGGCCTTGCAGAGGCCTCTGGCTGTGTCTGGGTCCCTTTCTTCCCATAAAGTGGGAGCTGCAGGACCTCCCTCACCGGGAGGCTGTGCACGTGAGCCTCATGTAAAGGCACGCAGTGTCTGGCACACAGTGGCCTCAGTCAACACAGGGTGCACAGCTTGTCCCCTGAGCACAGGTTTCTCACGGGGCTTCCTGGGGGAGGAGGGGAGCACAGCTCAGGAGTCTTCCTCCTCCATCCCCAGCAACCCTTGTCTTGTCTTGCTTTTAGGTGATGACAGAGGGTGGCCACAGCAAGGGGTTTGGCTTTGTGTGTTTTTCCTCTCCAGAAGAGGCAACCAAAGCTGTGACAGAGATGAATGGGCGCATCGTGGGCACCAAGCCTCTGTACGTGGCATTGGCCCAGCGCAAAGAGGAGCGGAAGGCCATCTTGACCAACCAGTACATGCAGCGCCTCTCCACGGTGCGGGCCCTGGGCCGCCCCCTCTTGGGCTCCTTCCAGCAGCCCTCCAGCTACTTCCTGCCCGCTCTGCCCCAGGTGACAGTTTGCCCGCAGCTCCCGCCACACCCTTTCCCTGATGGCCAGGTAGAGCAGGAAGGCGGGAGCTTCCAGGGAGAGCTTCTGTTGAAATTCACTAGGCAGCTGTCCCAACCCCCGAAGCTGTCACCTCACCTGTAAAAGGTGGAGTACCCAGGAGCATCTCCCCGCCTGAGAGTCTTGAATCGCTTGTGCAGAAAGACTTTCTTTGGTCAGATAAGTTGAGGAGATGTTGTATCAAACAAAAGGAGCCTCCATTTCTTTACCACGTCCATATCCTGCCCAAACATGCTGACCCCACGGTGGCCCCCAGAGGGGAGTGCAGGAGGCTTTCCTCAGTTCATGGATTGTGTGGGTGCCTGTTAACACCTCCCTGCGCTCCGTTCTGAGGAACCTGGCTTGGGAAAGGACCTCATGGGACTTAGAGGAAGTAGGAAGACATAAGCCATTGAAGGCCACAGGGTTGGTGACATGCCCTCTCAGCTGGCACAGATCTGAGTAAGAGGTATTGCCTTTTTTCATCTAGGCCTGATAAGGAGCAGGGATTGAAATCTGAGATCTTTCCCTAAAGGGTCCTCATGAGAGAGGAAGGAGCCCTTTACTAATCTATCTGTTCCCTAGAGGGGACAGTAGAGTTCCTGCAGTAGTGTCCCTGGCCCCTCTATTGCTGAGCCCCTCATTCTAGGTCCTCTTCTCCCCCACAGCCTCCGGCCCAGGCTGCGTACTGTGCCTCTGGCTCCATGGCCTCCATCCAGCCTGCCCCCAGGTGGACAGCCCAGCCACATAGACCTTCATGTGAGTGACCCAGCCACCATACCCTCAGCCCAGCCTATGGGCATGGGCCCCAGAAGCAGTGTGTAACACAGGGTCAAGCCATTTCACCTCTCTTGAGCCTCAGTTTCCTCTTCTCAGTGTGGGCCTGAATGAGTGTGCATGAAGCCCCCAGAACAGCAGCAAGGCTGTAGAGGACATGCAGGGTGGCCATTGTCCTTATCTCCAAAGACTTCTCTCATTTATAGCTGAACAATCGGGAGGCTAAGGCCCTAAGCAACTCAGCAAGACCCTGTCTTTAAATTAAAAAAGAAAAAGGGGTGGAGTGGGCCCCCCAGCGCCCCTCCCCCCTGCACTGGGGATGTGGCTCAGTGGTTAAGGCCCCTGGGTTCAATCCCCCGCACAAAAAAAAAAAAAAAAATCTTGTAACAAATCTGAGAAAATGAAACTCCTCTGGCTACACTGCTGATGACCTTCCTAAGAGCCAACTTCACGTTCACTTAAAACTGTCTTAGGGAAACTAAGGTGCATGACCCCAGCACTTGGGCATCTTGGGGCTTTGGGCAGACATGAGCTGGCTTTGTCACTGAAGATTTCCATACTCCCACTCCCTGGAGTTTTGGGTTGGAGTCACTCATCTCTCTGCTGTCAATTTGTAGTTCTCCTTCCCAGCCCCGGACCCTTCAGAGCATGGTGATTATAGCCCATAAACTTTCTCTCTCCATTTCTCTGTGCTGCAAGCCGTCTGTCCTCCAGCTGCTGCAATGGTCCGGCCAACAGGCATGTCTCGGCACCCCCGGGCCCAAGCTGGCAGTGTCAGTCAGGCCTCCACCCAGGAGCTCCACCCGGTGCACCACACCCAGAGAGTGGGTGAGTGTGCGCAGGGCCAAGAGGACTGTGGGTGTGAGGAAGGTAGGCAAGTCTTGGTGCTGAGGTTGGCCTTGGAGGGAGTAAGACCAGTCTCCATGGTGACCTTGTCTCCTGGTAAGCCAGGCTGACTCTGGAGGCCATGCATGTATGTGGAAGTTAGCTTGGCCCCCAGCTCCTGGGACTTGCTCACTCTGTGGTCCTCACTAACTACTGTCACTGACCACCTGTTCTTTAAAATGGGTGTAAGAATAGCGCGTCCCTTTTGTGAGGACTGAGAACACACAGCCAGGAGCTGGATCTTAGGATTGCAGTGGCTGTGCACACGTGTGGGCTTTGGCTGCAAGGCAAGCACAGCCATTGCTTCACTCAGCAAACCTCCTCATGCGAGTCCGTGTGCTAGTCCTGCGCTTGGCATCTGAGGCTTCTGTATGAACAAGCTAGACTCAGTCCTTGGCCTGAGGTCACTGCCAGGCCCTGACACCCTGCTTTTTTCTTTTTATTGTGGTAAAATATATACATAACAATTTACCAGTTGACTTTTTTTTTTTTTTTTTTTTGGTACTGGTAGTTGAACCCAGAGCATTCTACCACTGAGCTACATTCCCAGTCCTTTTTATTTTCAAACAAGGTTCCACTAAGTTGCTAAGGCTGGCCTCAAACTTGTGATCCTTCTGCCTCAGCCTCTCAGAGTTGCTGGGTTAATAGGCATGCGCCATTGTGCCCAGCATCGCTTAATCTTTTTTTTGGTACTGGAACATTGAACCCAGGGGCTTAACCACTGAACCACATCCCTAGGCCTTTTTATTTTTTGACACAAGGTGTTATTAAATTGCTTAGGGACTTGCTAAGTTACTGAGGCTGGCCTCAAATTTGCGATCCTCCTGTCTCAGCCTCACAAGTTGCTGGGATTACAGACGTGTGCCACCACGCCCAGCTCCCTTACTCATCTTGAAGTGTACAATTCAGTGGCATTTAGTGCATTCAAAGTGTTGCAGCCATTGCTACCATTCACCTGCAGAACTTTTCCTTGCAAAACAAATTGTATATCCATTAAACCCTAACTCCTCATTTCCCCCCACCCTCCATTCCCTGGAAACCACCATTCTACTTTCTCAGAATTTGACTATACCAAGTATTTCATGTAAGTAGAATTATATAAATGTGTCCTTTTGTGACTTATTTCACTTAGCACAGTATCTTCAGGATTCACATATGCTGTGGCATGTGTCAGAATCTCTTTTTTAAAAAAATGTTTATTTATTTTTATATACTGCTGAGGACTGAACCCAGGGCCTCACATGCAAGGCAAGCACTCTACCACTGACTACAACCCCAACCCAGAATCTCCATTCTTTTTAAGGCTAAATAATATTCCATTGTACACATATGCCACGTGTTGCTCATCCAGTCATCTGTGAGGGACACCTGAGCTGCTCTCACCTGCTGGCTGCTGTGCATGCTGCTGCTGTGGACATGAGTCACAAACCTCTGAGACCCTGCTTTCCATTCTTTTGGGTACATACCCACAGCGGAAGTCTTGGGTGATTTGGTGATTCTCATTTTTTGAGGAACACTCATGTTTTTCCACGGTGGCTGTTTTTTGCACTCCTGTCAAGAGTGCACGAGTGTTTCAATTTCTCTATGCTAACCAACACGTTATTTTCTGTTTGGGGTTTTGAATTGTGGATAGCAGCTGTTTGAACCCTGTTTATTTTTTTACAGCCAACATTGGTACCCAGACGATAGGACCCAGTGGGGCGGGATGCTCTACACCAGGCCGGCCTCTCCCGCAATACAAATGTCCCTCAACTGTACACAGTACCCGTGGGGTAAGACTGGCCCAGCTGCCCGCCCTACTCTGGGCTATGGAAATCCTGGCTTAGAACCTTGGCTAATGTGTTGGCTTATAAAGTTCCATTAACTAATATGTGCAGCAGAAGGGGAAAGAGGGCCAGGGTCATATTTTATTTGCTAATTATGATTTGCTCTGCCTAGGTTATTACTAAAATTAATTTGGATTTCTGTAGTATTTCTGTTGAACATCAGTGAAAGGTATTCTAAGAATATACTGAGTATTGAAGGGATGTGATTAAGTATCATAATAGGACTAAAAATATCTACTATCATTTAATGAAAGACTGTGTATTTATTTTCCTATCAAAAAGAGGCCTCAAATTCAACACTATCATATCCTGTCTAGAATTCTAATGTGCCTAGTTGAACTATCTTTTGCATTTGAACAAGAGTGGTCTTTAAACAGCAAAAACACTTTTTAAAGTTACCAACATGTGAAAGGGTGTTCTGGGGACGTGTCCATAAAGCTACCTGATACGGTGCTTTACCTGGCACTTAGTGATTAGTGATGCATGACTTTCATTTGGTAACACTGATTAGGGGCATATATGGGGACATAGCACATCTAAGTCTTCTAACCCGTGTGCTCTTGTTAGGGACTCTGCCCCCACCTGATTGTCCAGACCTTATCCCTGGCTCCCCTCTTCCAGAACCTTCCTGGAGGCCTGTGTTTACATAGTATTTGGAGGCCTTTCCCATCCCTGTGGTTAAGGGACATGTCCCCGGCACTGTATAGGTCCAGGAGCCTGCTGTGCACGTGCCTGGCCAGGAGCCCCTGACCGCATCCATGCTGGCTGCAGCACCCCTGCATGAGCAAAAGCAGATGATTGGTGAGTGGCTGACACCCCTACATTGGTGCAGCAAAAGGAGGGCTGGGAGCTGATAAGACTGCTGGAAGCCTCACGGAGCTGCCCAGCGATCTCACCCGATCTGCTTCTATCCTAGTCTTAAAACTCTGGTCAGGCCAGGCTTTTTCCAGTTCTGCTGTTCTGACTGACTTGGTGAGACACACCCCAGATGTAGAGAGGGCCAGGATCAGGAGGCACCATAAGAAAACGGACAACCTTGAGTTGAGGCTGAGAAATGGCCCAGGGGTGTTACAGTTTGTTACTAAATTTAATCTGTGTCCTGGTGCCCACTGCAGGGAGGTGCAAAAAATCTGTGCATAGGACTCTTGAATTCCTGGTTCACTTCTGTCCATGATATGAGTCTGGGTGACTGAATGGGCAGGCTTGTTCCTGATTGGCAGCATCTTCCCTGCATGGTCACCGAGATCTTCCGGCTGAAGGCCTTAGATACTTCCACACCGCTCATCTCTCGGTTTATTTATTAGGGTTTTGCCATTCTATATCCCATCCCATCTGCTATAAAATTTTTTTGAATGTGCTTAACAAAGGCAGAAGTTTTTCTTAGGCGGTCTCTGTAAACATTCCCTTATGGGAAGACCCTTATCCCACCATTTAAGATCTCAATCCTGGCTGGACCCTCCATGTGCCTGACGCCAACACTGACTTCTTGTTAGAAATCCTTATAGTGGAAAATGAATTTGCCCTATGATTTGTTTTCCACCCTCCAAAGAAACTCGCAAGTTCAGCATTATCATATTCTGTCCAGAATTTCGATGTATCTAGTTAGAACTATTTCTTGCAAAATGAACGAGTGGTCTTTAAACAGCAATTGACTTTGTGTTAGGCCCTGTGCTGTAATTACTTCATATACATTATCAAATTTGATTCTTCAAATTGTCCTTTAAGGCAGGGTTTGCCATGGGCACTATGTAGCTGAAAAAAGAAGTTCCCAGTAAGTGAAACAGCCTAGAAGGAGCACTGGGTTAAGAACCCAGATGTCCTCGCTGCTCCACCCCTGATACCACTCTTGGGTGCTGGGCTATGTATGGGCCAGGTGTGGCATAAGCCATCAGAGCTTGTCCACACAGGGGAACGTCTTTACCCGCTTGTCCATAACGTACACAACCAGCTGGCCGGCAAGATCACAGGCATGCTGCTGGAGATCGACAACTCGGAGCTGCTGCTCATGCTGGAGTCTCCAGAGTCCCTCCACGCCAAGGTAGGTAGAGCCTGGTCAGCAAGACAGCCAAGGACAAGGCCTGTCCCAGCTATGAGGCCAGAAGAAGTGGATCTTCTTGCTCACACTCCTTGAAGGCCTGCTGAATGTTGGTGTGGGAGAGGGCTTCCCCCCATCTTTGGTACTGGGGATTGAACCCAGGGGTGCTTTCCCACCAAGCCACATCCCCAGCCCTTTATATTTTATTTGGAGACAGGGTGTCTCGCTAAGTTGCTTAGGGCCTCACTAAGTTGCCAAGGCTGGCTTTGATCTTGTAATCCTCCTGTCTCGGCCTCCCAAGTTGTTGGGATTTCAGGCATGCATCACCACACCTGTGGGAGAGGGCCTTAATTGAGGGTGTGCTACTTGAGGTTTTGGTATAAGGAACTATATTCTGACTCAGTATAAGGGTTTTTTCCAGTGTCCAGCAGTGTACCTCTATCTCGACAAGGTGACCACGGGGCAAGGGATCTTGCAAGCAGCAGTGGATGAGAGGTTCACAGACTCTTTATCATGCTGAGGTGGGGGAGGCCAAGGCCCTTTTGAGATCCTTCTGAGAAGCTGTGTTAAGCCCCTTCTACTTGTGTCTCGCAGATAGAAGAGGCTGTGGCAGTGCTGCAGGCACACCAGGCCATGGAGCAGCCAAAGGCATACATGCACTGAAATCAGGTGGGTGGCTGTGCAGGGAGGACAGGGATACAGCAGCTGAGTTCAGAAGCAGCTGTGGACAACTGGAACTCAGGCTGCCTCTCAGAAACTGAGAGCCGTGTTATGTTGTTGGCTTTGAGGCATCGAGGAGGCTGAGGAATCATGAAGAGTCAGGGAGGTGCTCTTGTAGCAACTGCCCTACTGGCCTCATGCAGAATGGTCTGGGCTTCCCCTGGACACTGGCTGGCTCCATCAGCTGAATACTGGATGTCTGCTATCCTGTAGCAATGATTTTTTTCCCCCTTTCATTCCCAGAAAATGGATTCCTTATTCCTGTGGCTGTCAAGAGAAACAGGATCTGCTCTCAGCTCTGAGGCCCTGTGAACTATAACTTATTTCCCAACTGGACTGAATCTTTACTTGAGCCCTATATATGGAATGAAGGCTGTCACCAAGTCAGCCATTTCCCTTTTGTTTTGTGCATTAAAAGTGCTGCAAAATCTGGCCTCTTAGGAGGCTTTCTTGAGCCTGAGGGAGTTGGGGGCAAAGAAAAGAGCAGACTTGACTGGGGCTTTGACGTAAGAAATAGAACCCCCAAAAGCACTAACGTACACAGGGTGCATACACTAGAACCGAACTGTCAGGAACTGAGTTAGGCTACTTGTAGTAGCTCCAAATTAGAAATGACTAGCCCATCAGGAGTGCAGTGGATGGTTAAATGGGTATCATACAATGGACTGAGAAAGTGGGAAAAAGCTACAGTGATGTGTGGCATTTCTGGACCCCTGGCTTGAGCAAACAGCTGGCAAACACCTGAGAAGCAAGAAATTGCTTCCAGGCCCTGGGCTGCTGGAGGAGTTGTGTAATTAAATGTAGGAATGTTAGGATGCCTTCCCAGATTGTGGTCTCCTTCCCCTGCAGGAAACTGAAAAGTCTCTGAAGAAGGTTCTTTGGGATAATTAGTCCTCACCTCCCATCAGGGATGTAGACCCCAGTTTTATGACCTCCCCTGTATCAGGGCAGCCAAAGGATAAGGGCAAGGATCACAACCCAGCACATGAGTACTGCCATAAGTTCCCCAGCAATACATCCAACTGAGTCTTCAAGGTTGTACTGATATTCTGTCTTAATTCCTCTCTCTGTTCTCTATAAATGTTCTATTTTTGGAGATGAGACCTAATTTGCCCAATACTGGCTTCAAACTTGTGATCCTTCTGTTTCTGCCTCCTGCATAGCTCAAACTATATGCCACCACACCTGACTCACAAATGCTATTTCAAACTTTCTCCACTCCTCAAGCTTCTGGCCCCATATCCTCTGTGCAGATTTTATCTTCTCTTCAAATGCTGAATGCTAGAATTTCTTCAGGCCCTTCTCCTCTTCGGTATCTGATATTGGCATCTTCAATTTGCACCTGCTCTAGGATGACTCTTGGAGACTCCTGAGTTACAAGTCTCATTTTATCTGCCATCAACTTTTTTTGTTTTTGGGTGCTGAGAATTAAACCCAGGGCCTATTACATGCTAAGCAAGCACTCTACTACTAAGCCACATCCCCAGCCATCTACCATTAACACTTCCAACTTGTCTAAAATGAAGCTCACGATTCGATGTGCCTCTCCCCCAATTCTGTGGCTCTCCCTTCCAGTGGTCCGTGTTTTAATAGATGGCCCCACCCTCATTCTGTTGCAAAAGCCCCAATCTGAGGGTTCCCCCACCCCCTGTGCCACTTCACTTTCCTGCCTCATCTTCCACATGAAATCTATTAATTTTGACCCCCCCACTCTCATCTTTCTACTTCTAAATCCACTATCCCCACCCTAGTCCAAACTCAGATGGACTCTGGCAATAGCCTCTCGGTGGCTTCACTACATCTGCAATGACCATTCTCCCATGTCCTCCACCACACAATCAGAAAGCTTGCCTCAGGATGCACATCTTTCCTCTCACCCTGAGAAAGACCTTCAGTAGATTCCTACTGTTTGTGCAGGGTCTCAGGTTTTGTCCTTGCGCTCTCTGGCTCCCACATGGGAATTGGAAGAAGACTGTCATTCCCATGTAATGACCTTGTCTTAGGATAGGGGGTAGAATTCATTTATGGCTATTAAGATAGTAATATTGATAGGTTAACATTTCTAGGAAAGGGACAGCTATCACATGTAGAAATTTTAATCTTCATAGCCTCTCAGGAGATGGACGGTGATAACTTTCAAACACAGGTGATGACAAAGCTTACCATGACATTCCCTATGTTTATCAGGAATTTAAGTACCAAAAAAAAAAAAGGCCCCTTCGCCTGTGAAGGCCAAGGCCTGGCTGTCTGCTTCCACTGAGTCTAGATGTGCCTTCTATAGCTCTATGTGGGTTGTGATGGGTGTTGCCACTAAATCTGCCTCAAATCAGTGAAGCCCCAAAAGAAATATTAACGGGGTGTGGCTCCCCACTCTGACAAGGTCCTCTGGCCACACCTGGGGCCTATTGGGTGTGTCTGACTCCTACCATGAACTTGAGTCTAGAGGTCTGAATATTCAGATAGCAAAAGACTCGTGCGTGCTTAAGCGCTGCTCCTGACCTCTCTTCACAGCTCATGTTCCTTAACACCTTTGTGATGAGAAGTATAAGCCAATAAACCTTTGTTTAATCATAAAACTTCTGCATCGAAGTAAAACTAATTTAACTAGGACCACAGCCCAGGAAGGGGAGGCAGCCCTTAATTCTGGTCAAATTCTAAAGTTCTCCAGCCTTACTCCAGGCCATGTTGTGTGAACCTGAGTGGTATTTTTTAGCCCCTGTGCTTCCTCGCCACGTCCTCCCAACTAGGACTTTTACACAGGCTGTTGGGTCTCGGCACACTGCTTTCAACACCCTCCCCCCTTCACCAGTTAACCTCTCACTTTAAAACACGTTCAAGCTTTACCTCCTCAAGGGCCCTTTTCCCTCCACTGTGGGAACCTCCCTGTGGAGGCAGGTAAGGTGCTGGTGACTATTCCATGCTGCTGTGTAGGCTGTGGCTTTATTGGGGGTGATTATCTGATGACTTCTTGCCTTCCCACCGGACTATCAGCCCTACAGCAGGTAGTCTATTCTTTGTTGCCTCCCCAGCACTGCGTGCAGCACCTGGCCCATGCAGACATTTGAGTAAATTTGTTCAACAAACAGATGAAAGCACAAGAAGCAGCAGCTTCTATTGTTACTGCTATAATGGGCGCAAAGCTGAAAAGGCATGATTGAAAGTATGACTTCTGTACAGAAGAAAGCCTTTTAATGCAATAGCTTAACACAGTTCAACAAATTCAGTCAGTTCAAATTAACTTCAACATATTACCAAGAACTAAGAAGCCTGGAGGGGCCACCACTTTGGGGAGGGGGGGGTGGGGAGGCAAATTGCTGCCCAGAATGGAAGGATACTGACCTCAAGGAGGCCCCTCTCCCCATCCCAAGAGGTGTGGCCATAACCATCGGGCTCTTGCAATAGCTTAGGTACCTCCATGCAGAAGGCAGCAGCACAGAGTCGAGGGCAGAGCCATCTAGGGATCACAGCTCTGCCTTCTCACCAGAGCAGGGCCTGGAAAAAAGGCACTGGGGCTGACACAGAATTCTGTGCCCAAGACAGGGTGGGGACAGCAGCTGCAGCACTGGAGAACCAGCTCAACAGGCCGCTTTGGGTGTAGGTGGGCCAGGGATTTTAGCTTCTCCCCCACCTCTACCCAGGAGCTCAGTTCAGATTAACTGCAGAGAGGTGAGGTCTGATGCAGCTACAAAGGCAGCATTCAATCTGCAGCACACTTGGGGCAGGGGCAAAGCCAAGTGCTTTGCTGTTGAGGACTGCTTGTCTGATATGCTAACTGAGGCAGCAGGGTGGGAACAGGGCTCTAGCTTCACACTCAGCTCTAGCAAGGACCTTTGTGGTGAAACCATGTCTGTGCTTGACTATGCTGGCTTAACTTGAACAAGCAAAGCCTCTCAAAGGTGGAGGCCACTGCTGTCAGAGGGGCTGAGGAGGGTATTTCAAAGCTCCCTGTGGGGCATGCTAGGTTTTGGGGGTGGCTGCAGGGGAGGACACCCCTGGCTTCTCTGGGAAGGGCAGACAAAAGGTTCCTGCTGCCCTTTAAGGTTTTATTTCAGTTTCTGGTTAACTTCCTGCCGTAACTTCTGTGCAGGGCCATTCCTGGGCTCAATTTGTAGGAGGCTGCTGATGTCTGCAAGGCTGGATTTATAGTCCTAATGGGAAAGAAGAAAAGTGTGGGGAAGGGACCTGAATGAGATGAAATTCAAATGGAATGGGGTCAGCTGCTGAGGCAACAGTGTCTTGAAACCCAGCCTCTAACTGCCCTGAGCGACCCTGGGCCTTGGAGAAGAAACTTGTCAGGAACCCGCTTACCTCACCTGTACCCTGAATGAATAATGGCATAAACCCCTGCAGCTATGTTGGTACCTTGGGCAGGCCCTTTTACCTTGAGTGACTTGTAGGCTTGAGCCCGTCTGTACAGTGCTTTCACGTTCTTGCCGTCCAGCTTGAGGGCTTCTGTGCAGTCCTTCACTGCCTCCTTGTCCTGATTCAGGACCAGATGACAGAGTGCTCTGAGGGGAAAGACCATCGCAGAGGTTTAGTCACTTCTGTGGGTCCCTGCAAGCCAGGAGGTAGGTGAGGAGTGACCTCTGGATTGTTGAGCCTACTCTGTGCTGACTGTAGCTTCTTCAATCCTCTCCCTTTTTACAGATAAAAAAACAAAAAAGCTTTTACAGCTGGCTCAGAGGGGGTGAAGAGAGTTGCCCAAGGTGCCACTGCTACTAAGGACCAGACCCAGTTCAAACCAAGTGAATCTGAACAACTCCAGACTCCATCTGGTTCTGTTACTGTGTCTGCTCCACTCTCCTCAATCAGGGAAAAGTCAAGTCAGCCTGAAACCTTCCCCTTTACAGATTAAAAATATTTACCGTTTGAGAAAACACATAAATACTAATCAATAATAGGCTGACATGTAAGTGGCAAATATAATGAGATGGTGAATATAAGATGGCTAATAAAGCAAATATAACAAAATACTGTAGGATATGGATGGTAGGTATATGGGTGTTCAGTATTTTTCCCTGACAAACTCTAGAATCATCATGAATTAAAAAAGCAGGAACAACCAAATGGAAAAACTTGGACTGAGGATACAGCTTAGTAGTAGGATGATTGACTAGCATGTACAAGGCTCTGGGTCTACCCCTAGCATTGCAAAAAACAAAAACCTAAACCCTACCCTACCCCCCGAAAAAGGAAAAAATATAGTATTTTGATGATTTCATAGAATATATAAAATTAAAGAAAAACTTTCCTGTAGCAATTTAAAGACAGGTGTAAGCCAGGTATAGTGGTGCATGCTAGTAATCCCAGTGGCTTAGGAGGCTAAGGCATGCAGATCTCAAGTTCAAAGCCAGCCTCAGCAGCTTAGCAAGGTCCTAAGCAACTTTGCAAAACCCTGTCTCAAAATAAAAAATGGGCTGAGGATGTGGCTCAGTGGTGCCCCTGGGTTCAATTCCTAGTACCAAATAAAAAATAAATAAATATAGGTACTAATTTACTGGCACTCTTCTTATTGAGAGGAGGCTGTGTTTGTGACTCTGTTCTCTCCCCTTGAATTCAGGCAGGTTCTGTGACTGTGCTGACCAAGAGGAGGGAAGAGAAAGGGATATGATGCAACTTTCAAGGCCAGGTCATAAAGGCCTTGTTGGTTCCTCCTTGGGTCTCTGAGAACACGTACTCATGAAGACTTGAGCTGCCATGTCAGTAGCTAACTACTCTGAGGCCACCAAGCTATGAGTAGGCCAAGCCAGCGAATTGGGAAAAGCCGCCATGAGAGATGAAAAGGTGCCAGCTTGCTCTAGGAATCCTTTTTTTAGCCACTGAGCCATCTCCTACCTTTTTTGATTTTGAGACACAGTCTCACTATGTTGGAACAGAACCCAGAGCCTTATACATGCTATGTCAGTGTTGCTAGGCCCTGCTAAGTTGCTGAGGCTCAGCCTCCCAAGTTGCTGGGACTACAGGCATGCACTACCATGCCCAGCATTTGCTGTAGCAATTCTGTCCCCTAGCCACATGTCATTCCAGTGGGTGGCACACATGTAATGACTCTAAGCCCCAACTACCATCTTGCTGACCCTGAATGAAAGACCCCAATGAGAACCAAGTGAATCTGAACAACTGAATTCCCCATACTACTAAAGAAATGGGTTGTTATAAATTATTAAGTTTTAGAATAGTAGTCCCTGATTTAAACTTTGAACACAGAGCAATTCTAGGGAAACTAAGGTTTTCTCCCAGTGGGTTCTGGCAATTTAAAGAATTAACCAAGTTTTGGGAAAGTAGAAGAATCAAAGCATATAAACATTATATACTGTATAGTGACTTCAGAATATAAATATTAAGATGAATGTAATTATATATGACATCTAAAAATTGTATTTAAGATGATAAAAGTGACTTTGGCCTATAAAACAAAGACCTTTAATTTTTGGAAAGTGGAATGATTTTGTATTCAGTTAAAAGGGGTTAAATTACAAACGAGTCTGGAATATAACATGAGTGAGTAAAAAGGAACATAAGTTTGGAATCACAAAGATCTGGCTTGTGGCTGGCGGTATGGCTAGCATATGCACAAATTCCTGGGTTCTATCCCCAACACTGCAAAAAAACCCAAAACAAAACAAAACCAAAAACAAGACCTGTGCTGCCACGTATAAGCTATATACCTTTATGCTCATTAATTCATCTGTCTTAGCCAATCTGGGTAACATGAGACTATGACATAAACCAAACTACTGTTTTGAATACTAAATAATTCTCATAGGGAAGGGTCATTCCATATAGCAAGTTATAGATGCTGCGTACCAAGTGACGGTATGCATTCAAGTCTCATTAGCACAAAGAGTAAGCGGAGGACTAGGCACTGTTCCACACAGATGCATATGCATGAGTGGGCCATTGCAACTGCATCCAGGATGTGCTAAGCTTTCAGTCACAATGGATGAAAATTCAGTTTTGTAATCAGTCCTCTAAATTAAGTTTATAAATTCAATGCAGTCACAACCAAAAACTGTTCAACAAAACAGTTTTTGGAATCTGTCAACATGATCCTAACGCTTAGCTGGAACAACAGGTGTAGGAGAACCGCCAGGGATACCTCAATTAAGAATAATGGGGCTGGGGCTGGGGCTGGGGCTGAAGCTCAGTGAAAGAGTGCTTGCCTGGCATGTGTGAGGCACTACATATAAATAAACAAAATAAAGGCATGCTATCCATCTGCAGCTACCAAAAAAAAAAAGATGGGGCAAAGATCAACTTTACAAGACATTGAAAAGCAAGAGCAATTAAAACAGTGTGGCACAGATACATTTGCCTAGAGAACGGTATTTAAGCCAGACTCAGTGGTGCATGCCTATAATCCCAGTAACTTGGGAGGCTGAACTAGGAAGGAAGATCACAAGTTCAAGGCTGAGGCAATTTAGCAAGGTGAGACCCAGTCTCAAAAAATTAAAAGAGGTGGGGATGTCGTTCAGTGGTGTTCAATTCCCAATAACAAACAAAAAACAGTAAGCAAAACAAAGTACTATCCCAGATATTTCCACAAATATGAAGTGAATGGGCTACAGGCTTCCTTTTTAAGTTAGCCTGGCAAATTGAGGCACCCCTGGACCAGAGAGTAAAATCACAGGGTTCAAAATCCTACAGTCCAAGCTTTGTCTTTTCAACTCTTTTGGCAACAAAACCACCAGACCTGGAACTGATATGAGACTACTTAGTTTCTGCCATCCCATGTGAATATGGAATTTTCATATTTCACTGAAGAAAAACTAATAATTTCAGTAAGCTGCCCCATTCTCTCCTGGGTTTTACATAATTCAGTATATGGACTGTATTACCTTACTAAAATCTAAAACACATTTTATTCCAAGAGTTTTGAATAAGGAATAGTAAACCTGCATCGGATTAAAGATAAGTGAACACAAGAGTGATAAGTACATGTTGGTAGGAAAGGAGAAACAGACTTGTAACATTTTATAATCAATATTTGGATCAGATACAGTCCTTGATGACTGTCAAGTTTCTGACAGAATGTTAACAGATCTCACTGGAGCCAGACTCCAATTCTGGCATCACTGTTTATGGGCCTTCTGAGCTTTGGTTTTCTCAACTC